AAATATAAGCCGAACAAACGCTACGAACGCCTCCATGCAACGTTACGCGCAATTTCAAAGATTTGAGAATCTGACGCTGGGACACGGAGAAAGATGGAGGATATACAAGATAGGACACATACACACGTAGCAACAACGACACACTCCCGATTTGGGCAGTCGGAGTTTTAATCCCCCTAACCACTAACCTAACCTTCTAATCTAACCGAGAACGCGCTACCGCGCGGGGAAAATATATCCCTAAACCTAACCATTAACCCTAACCTCCTAACCTTACCCTAACCTCCTAACCCTACCGAGAACGCGCTACCGTGCGGGGAGAATAAAGTAAGAGCGCACTACCACGCGAAAAGACACTAACCCTAACCAAACCCTAACACTAAGCCCTAACACTAACGGCAGCTATTCGGCATGTACTTCGGAGTGTCAAAAATATTTAATTTGATGGGGGATCAGCGACACATCGTCATGTGCCTGGGTGTGTTGGGTGTCTCTTCTTGTCCGTCCTGAGAAAGATGTAATGAGGTCAAACCTGGCATGTTAAAGAACGGACTCGAATTTGAGCAAATCCGGCAGTGTGCTAACAAAGGTGGTATGTAATCATACCACGAAACGGACGTAGTCTGGCTGAGGAGTGATCCAGCACACTGGCAGAGAAAACGTTGACGTAGAGCCTCAATGATTGCGTGAATTTTGTCAACCCAAACCCAATCGGTTGGGCAGAAACTGAGACTTGAAGCCAATAAAAGCACTGCATCAAGGACTGCAATCACGACGTACACATTTTATGCTCACCTTTCTTCCTCCGGAGTACAAGCAGAGCGTACGCATCTGACAGACCTATCCACGATTGTTGTGAGCATCAGCTTGATGCCAGAGCTGAGCTACGTACCCCCCCGCCCTTCATTGAAGTCGTAGTCCGCACGAGAAACGACGACGACCCTTTGATGAATTTGGTATTCTTGAACTTCCGCCTTTGCCCTCACTAGTTCGGTAAAGGCTGAAAAACAATTGGGAAAGAAGGAAGGTGTCAGTAGGCTATTGTCGACGAATCTGATGCTGGGACATGTAGTGAGGTCAAACCTGGCACGTTAAAGAACGGACTCAAATTTGAGCAAATGCGGCAGTGCGCTAACAAAGGTGGTATGTAATCATACCACGAAACGGACGTAGTCTGGCTGAGGAGTGATCCAGCGCACTGGCAGAGAAAACATTGACGTAGAGTCTCAATGATTGTGTGAATTTTGTCAACCCAAACCCGATCGGTTGGGCAGAAACTGAGACTTGAAGCCAATAAAAGCACTGCATCAAGGACTGCAATCACGACGTACACATTTTATGCTCACCTTTCTTCCTCCAGAGTACAAGCAGAGCATACGCATCCAACAGACCTATCCACGATTGTTGTGAGCATCAGCTTGACACTCCAAGTATCACTGACCTATGCCAGAGCTGAGCTACGTACGCCCCCTGCCCTTCATCGAAGTCGTAGTCCGCACAAGAAACGACGACAACCCTTTGATGAATTTGGTATTCTTGACCTTCCGCCTTCAGCCCTAGCTGTAAGAATTGACCAAATTGTGCAGGA